ATATATATACAATTTTTATTTGTCAATTATACCTCAATAAAACGGACAGGGGAAAATGATACAGAGGACAGAAATGGAGTCAGGAAAATAACGTGGGTGGGAAAGATGATATTTTTCACATAAATAAATTGAGCTTGTGGACGTCCAAGTGGAAATATGTGTTAGGCAGTTAGGGATACTGAGCTGGAACCCACACAGAGGCAGAAAGGCTGGCACTAGTTAGTGAAATCATGCCCACTTGGTCATTGTTGGAATAGATTAATTCTCCTAGGAATAGTTCGGAGGTAGAGAAGGTCATTGTCTCTCCCTACGAAAGAGAAAGTGCCTCGCAGCCGTGCAAGCTGATGGTCATCAGTTCTCATCACTGCACCTTTTCTCCATCTGGAAGCTGTGAGCAGATTTTAACCGTTTCCAGTGTTCAGGGATGGCTGTGTTCTGTTGGAGGAATAAATCAGCTGTTGGAATTTGGGTTTCTTCTTGAGTGAAGAGAATGTGATCCCATTCTACCTCTCACAGTGCTTCACAGTCTACAAACTACGTTCACAAGTGAGCCCATTTTTTTTTTCTTGTTATGCTAACCTTGTGAAGTAGATAAGGACAAGTATAATTATCCCCATTACACAGATGAAGGAGCTGAAGCACAGGGAGTTTGAAATTTGCTAAAGGTCACCTGGGTAGTTAATTACAGAGCTCAGAGACAGACAATTTTGATTACAAGTTCAGTGTTCTTTTTATTCTACCTTGGGGCCTCCCTTTTCAGCAGTGCTCACCTCACAATATTTGACAGTGGTTTACACACAAGCTGTGTCTCCCTCAATGTTACAATGGCAAGTTCTCTATGGATTTTATTGGTGCCCAGCAAAAGAGCAAGTTAGTCTTGTGGCATTTTTCTTCAATTTAAACTGGACATCGAGTTGTACATCTTTATTGTCTAGTGGTGCGAATTCACCTAAGCTTAGCTCTTAATATTCAAAATAGAGAGGAAGCTGGGAATCTGGAGCAAAGAAATACACACTGGAGAAAATGAAGACAAGGGAAAATATCCTTTTTAATCACGGACCTATCTCCAAGCAGGCTACTCAGCCTCTGGTATTGTAGAGAGACTAACCTAATACAGTTCTTCTATCCCATCCTGTATTCTAGAATGGTGGTACAGAGCCAGCAGGTTGGAGGTAGAAGTTTAAAAATTACAAACTAAAAAAAAAAAAAGAAAAACTTAGAGAAGCTTTAACTTCCTGGCAGTATCTCCAAAGAGGGGTACCCTTCTGTGGTTCTGTGGTCAGTGGAAGCAGTGTCTGTCTTTAGACCTGGTTGGTTGACTTTCATGAGTTCACAGAACTGGAAGTGCCCAGCACAAAGTGCTGAAAGATTTTTCTGAAGCTCCCAGCTGCTACAGCGTAAACCTTGATGGAAAAACGTTTTTGTTGGGTATATGGAAGACTCATCAGTCTTACCATCTCAGCACTGCCAGTTCTTACTGTCTAACATATATGAAAGAGAAGGAAAATGGTACTTCTCAAAACAAAACTAAAATAATAGTGGGAAATTGAGCACTGTGTTTAAAAGCTCATAAGATTTCATTTCCAGGGAAAAGGAATAACTCCGCCTTTTCTTTCTCTTGAGCCTTTTCTGTTTTCATAGTTTCTCCTAGTTTCATTACATATATTGTCCCTTCAGCGTTATCAGATAGTGCCTCTAAAACCTTACCTATCCTATGATCAGTGTCTTTCTTCAGTTTCTAGCAAATTGATTGTGGATAAGACAGGTACACAGGGCAGGTTACTGGGGGGACAGTTTAGAGGGAACTGACCTGGGAGACTGCATTCCACGTTCTTTTGACACTACTGGCCATAGTTCTGTACTTATCCACTAAAAAGTAAACTGGAAGTTCAAGTCTTTAGTTATTTCCTTCCTGAGAGATGGTGTTGGTTAAAATACTAAGTGAATAAATGAGCAAATGGAAGGAAGATATTAGCTGAAGCTGCAGTGAAGAGAGAGGTAGGATTATGAGCCTGACCTTGGAAGGGGGAGAGTCTTCATTCAGTGGCCATTTGTATATTGGCCTTGCACTACACTATCAGGCCAACGCCCTGAAGACCTGTTCTGAAATTTCCACCTGCCTGCGTTTGTTGACTATGGCCATTTCTGTTCACTGCCTAATAGACGAGTAACAAGAATTCCTCTTCCTCATCCCACAATAGCAAATAATAGCATTTACTAAAATAATAACAATTTGTCCTAATAAAAGAGCCCCCAGAAAAGCTACTTGGTGATCACTCTGCTACCCAAGTTTCTTCCCTGGCATTCTGACAATAGCAGGTATGATAATAAACTTAGCCAAAACATATATGGAGCTGGGTGTGGTGGCTCATGCCTGTAATCCCATCACTTTGGGAGGCTGAAGTGGATGGATCACTTGAGGTCAAGAGTTCAAGACCACCCTCGCCAATATGGTAAAACCCTGTCTCTACTAAAAATACAAAAATTAGCTGGGTGTGGTGGTGTACGCCTGTAATCCCAGCTACTCCGGAGGCTGAGACAGAAGAATTGCTTGAACCCAGGAGGTGGAGGCTGCAGTGAGCTGAGATCATGCCACTGCACTCCAGCCTGAGTGACAGAGCTAGACTCTGTCAAAAAAAAAAAATAAATAAAATATATATATATATATATATATATATATATATATATATGGATTCTCATTAGGATGGCTATTATAAAAAAAAAGTTGGCAAGGACATGGGGAAATTGGAACACTTGCGCATTGCTGGTAGGAGTGTAAAATGATACAGCTGATGGGGAATCTTTATGGCAATTCCTCAAAAAATTAAACAGAATCACCACATGATCTAGCAATTCCCTTTCTGGGTATATATCCAGGAAGGAAAGCAGGTACTCAAACATATTTGTACCCCCACTTGCCCAGCAGCACCATTCACAATAGCCGTAAGGTGGAAGTAACAAGTGCCCATCAATGGATGAATGGATAAACAAAATGTGATGTATACATACAACGGAATATTATTCAGCCTTTAAGAGAAAGGAAATTTTGAGACTTGCTACAACATGGATAAACCTGGATGACATTATGCTAAGTGAAGTGAGCCAATCACAAAAGGACAAATACTGTATGATTCCACCAACATGAGATTCCTAGGACAGTCAGGTTCATACAGAAAGTAAAATGGTGGTTGCCAGGGGCTGTGGGGAATGGGGACGAGTGGGGGAGTTAGTATTTAATGGGTACAGAGTTTCAGTTTGGGAAAATGACGAAGTTCTGGTGTTGAATGGTGGTGATGGTTGCATACAATGTGAATATGTTAATGCCCATGACTGCACACTTACAGTTAAAATGGTACATATATGTTATGTATTTTTTTAACCACAATTAAAAAATTGGAGGCAAGTCTCGTGGGTCACACCTTTAATCTCAGCACTTTGGGAGGCCGAGGTGGGCCGATCAGTTGAGGTCAAGAGTTCGAGACGAGCCTGGCCAACATGGTGAAATCCCGTCTCCATTAGAAAATATAAAAATTAGTTGGGCATGGTAGTGCACATCTGTAATCCCAGCTACTCGGGAGGCTGAGGCAGAAGAATCCCTTGAACTCGAGAGGTGGAAGTTTCAGTGAGCAGAGATCGCAACACTGCAATCTATCCTGGGCAGCACAGTCAATGAGACTCCGTCTCAAAAAAATAAAAATAAGGCAGGCAGAGGGTGGAATGATATGGAAGAGACAAAATATCTTAATTTGTTTAATGTTTCACTAATGGACTGTGCTATTCTCTTCTTTTCGAGAAGCCAGATTTTACAAAGGGAGACTTTCAGAAGGCAGATGCGGTGTGTTTTTTTGTTGTTGTTTGGGAAGTGTATCTTCAGTGGGTTATTAACATTCTGACTTGTGGCAAGGATTGATGTCTATTTTCAATGGCAGGCTCAGCCTTAGCCATTACCATAGGGATCCTGAGCTCTGCCTTGGCAGTGTCAGGCATTGAACAAATGTTCATGGATTTAAATGAAATGATGTGCCTTACTTTCAGTTGTATGACTTGAAAGAGTCTTTGTTTGGTTTTGTTTTTCAAAGTACAAGAGTAAATCAACAGAATTGAAAGGGTTTTGAGCCAGCTCCACCCATCTCTACACAGGAAAGGAATCATCTTTTAAAACTTGAATTTAACAGTTACATAGCACTTACTGTGAGCCAGAGACTATCCTAAAGGCTTTTGATAGATATATCAACTCATTTAATACTAATAAGCCTATGCCGTTAGGTACCATTGTTTCCCATTTTACAGATGAGAAAACTGAGGCACAGAGAAGGAAAGTTATACGACTAGTAAGTAGTGGACCTCGGATTCCAACTGAAATACCTTGTGGACCCAGAGCTCACGCTTTTAGTTATTGCACACCTGACTCTTTTTAAAATAGTAATGTACGAGACTGGGGCTTTAATGACCCTGAAGTGGATCTCAAGGTCCAGAATGGAGAGTGGAAATTGGGGATGAAGATATTCCTTGATTATGATCCTGCCTCTCTCCTCCAGCAGCCTGGTTAGGTCCCTGAGGGTTAATGCTGAAGCCACGGTAAGGGGCTTGTAGGTTTAAGGTCAAATTTTTTGAACCTAAGGAATTTCCCTCCAATTCTGTAGCAGCCCCTTAGTGACGAAACTGCTGTCGATCCCACGGGTTTTGCTATTAGAGGATTTTCTAGGTGATCAAGGCAGACGAGATGAAACACTATTAAACTAACACTGACCGACGCTGAACCCTATATAAATCTTTTTTTCTAGCCTTTCTAAGATACGGCCCAAGACGAATCTGCAACTCTGGAGTGGAAGCCAGGGGGCGGGCCAAGCAGCGACCATTTTTGTTTTGCGGCCGTGCGCTCTCAGAGCATCTTGACTAACAGGACCCCACGGTGAAGGTGGAGCCTATCAGAGAGCAGGGCGGGGCCTGGGAGACGTGATGATTCAAATGGACTAATGATCTGGGCGCATCTGGCAGAAGTCGCCAATCAGCGGGCGTGTTGGGGAGGAGCGCACTAACGCCAGTGGGTTTGGTTGCACGGCGGCTTTGGCGCATTTTCGGCTGGTTTGATTCATCCATTTTGAAGAGACGGGGGAGCGGGGGGCTCGTCTGTTCCAGGGGCCCTGAACCAAAGAGCAGCGGAGTTTGAGAAGCCTGCAGCTCGGGGTTCGGCGGCAGCGGTCCCATCGGCTGAAGTTCGGGGGGGGTGGGGCGCCGAGCGCGCGGGGTGGGGGGGGTCCTGGTCTTTGGCTTCTCGACTCGGTCCTGTTTCGACAGCGAACATGTCGCGGCCTGTCAGGTCAGTGCGGAGTCTGAGGCCTGGAGCGGGTTGGAGGGGGCTGGGGGCGAGTGGTGAAAGAGTGGGGGACAGAAAGCTAGAGTTGTCCATCCCTGGTGCCACGCGCGGCCTCCTCCCTGTCGGGGCCCGCGCGCACCCTGGAGCGTGGGGGGCCCTGCTGGCGCGCGGGGGTGGCGGCTGCGCGCCTGTGCGCGCGCCCCTCCCCGCCCCGCGCCGCTGCAGGGCTCCGGTCTGCTCAGTTGCCTCCCCCACCCGTCGCACTGGAACGGGCGGGGTGTCCCTGAACCGCCAGCGGCCGGAGGGGGAGGGGTGTGAAGTCAGCGCCCCCAAGAGGCCCCACCTCCTCGGGGCCGTCCTCTCGGAGCCAGCGCGGGGAGGCGGGCGGCCTGCAGCTCCACTCCCCACCTTCAACGAGGAGGGGCGGAGGCGCCCGTAATGCCCCTTCCCCCCGCGACTGGCGCGGGGGTGGGGGCCCTGAGCCCTATTTCTCTAGCGGACGGGGGTGTTCCAGGCAAAGGGGGAGGGGCAGCACTGCCACCGGGCCTCCAGTCTGTACTTCGGGTCGCTGCAGGCCCCGCCTCCCGGATCGGGCGGAGCGTGGGCGGGACCCGTTTTTACTCCCCCCGGGCAAAAGTGAGAGTTCGGGACTGGATCCTGGAAAATAATGGGCTGCTGCCTCTCTCCCCACCTCAGAGTTTTGAGAGAGTTAACCCCAAAGTTCGCTCTTTCTCTCGGACTGGAAATGTCCTTCCTCGGGGGAATGTCAGTATTCAGGGAGGTGCGGGTTAACAGCACGGCCCAAATCCCGTGTGGTTCTCGTTCCACTCTCACCCGCGTACGCGTCTCGGGATATTTTTGTAACCTCTCGTCCCCGAGTGACTTTAGTAATAAAAGGGCTAGGTTCGGGTAACCATCAGACTTCATTCTCGGAATTTCAACAAGTTTGCTGTTCCCCCAGTGGTCGGTGGAATCGTCCTATGCCATCCTCCAGGCTATTGTATGGAATGTGCCATTTATGGAGGGGTGTGGTTTAGTCCAATCTGTTGAGGCCTTAAAAAGGAGAGCTGTTGGAAATAAATATTACTTTTAATGTAAGGAATTGGCTTCTTTGCATAGTGTGTTTTCTAAATAAATAGATATAGGCTTAGTTTTTAAATGTTTTAACAGTTGTTGCTTCCCTTTCATTCCAAGTTGTGTGGGAAATGGAAGTATCTTTAATTAGAGTTCTAAAGAGAGGTTTGGGACCTTGGAAAGGGTTTTGTTCTACACTGTTCTGTCTCCAGACTAGATCATCGTCCAGCTGGTGGTGGTATGGGACTGCGTACTCCTACACACGGGGTGGGAATGAGGAGAAAGAGCTGCTGCAGCTTCAACCAGTATCCGTGGTAACTCACTGTATCTACCATGAAAAGTATACTGGCCTTTTGGCAAGGAGTCTGGATAGCTCTTTCAGAGTATAGTATGCATAACTTTTTTTGGCATAAAACTTGACAGATTTATCCCATCAACTTAATGGAACGTTTTCTTTAGGATCAGGTAAAATAGACAATAAAAATAAAGATTTCTTTTATGTGGATTGAATCTTTTGTCTTCTGGAAGTAATTAGTGTGTGGTCAAATTAGGTTATTTTTTCCACCTTTTAAACTTTAGTTCACTAAGTTTTGATTTTATTTTATTGTAGTGACTTTCTTATCTCATCTGCCTGAATTTGTTTTTCCAGATTTAGGTATTGGAACATGAACAGAACATTTTTACTGGAAACTTGGATTTTTAATATTACCATGTGGGGATATATATATTAAGCACATTCTGTCAGTGTTTTTGCAGGCATTGGGATTTTTGGACAACTTTTTTCTTAGTGTGTTGTTTAAAATAATTTTTACCTTGTTTATTGCCCCTAATTGAGCGATGTTTATATGTTGTGGGGTTTTTTTGTTTTTCTGTGGTTTTTTTGCCATTTCAAATTATTAATTTCAGAGCAAGTTGGTTACCGGATATATTTTAGTCGTAAATTCTTTGTAATTATTTTTTAAAATAAGTCTTTATTCATGACCAACAATAAAGCAGAAATAATTAAACTTGAGTTTGGTGGTTTGTTAAATTTTGCAATAAAAAAGTCCTGACTTAGGGAAATACTGTTGTTTCAAAGTGTAATTGAAGAATCTATATTACCTTAGTGCATTTAACATCAACAAAAAAAAATGTGATAGACATTGACCTGATTTCAGAATGATCAGCCTTGTTTTAAAAACAACCTAAAAGCACAAGTTAGAAAATATTGTCACTGTGTCTTCTTTTGGGGTATTTCTGACCTTAGGCCTTTGTATAATTTTGCAGTTTTTCTGGTTCTCTTTTTACCATAAGTATTCGTTTTTATTTTAATATGAACCTAAACATTTTAAGAGCATTTGGAAATGTACTAATGGCACCTTAACATCAATTTCCAAATGGAGGGTATGGTGGGCCTGTTGGCTACTGCATGATTTTAGATAGACCTGTGTCTAGCACGTTATGTTTAAGTAACTTTGTTCATGCAAGATTGCTGTCTTTACCTTTTACAGTGGCTGACTTCTAAATGAGAGCTCAAACATTTTAGACCGTGGATTCAAATAAATAGCTTAAAATGACAGTCTTGGAGCTAGGAAGAGGTTTAGGCAAACTCACTTTATTAAAGCCAGTTTAACGGGGACCTGAATAAGTGAGGTGCATTGCATCACACACTAGCAGGTGCAAACGTGGGGCCAAGAACCTAGGTTTCCCAATTCCAGTTCTGCTTGTCCCCACCCTCATGATCACTGTACCTTCTGCCCAATCAATATTAAAGTTAATGCTGATTAAAGAACATAGTGTATAACATTTTTAACTTTTCAAAGTGCTTTCATGAGTCAACTTTGTGAGGAAGGAAGAAAAATGCCATTACTTGTAAGAGGTGAGAAAGAAAGCTCAGATTTACTGACTTGCCCAGACTAGAAACCAGATTTCTTGAAATACAGCTTTGTTACACTCTCCAGAGAGCCTCCTCCCTTACTGAAAGTGATTCAGATTGCTCAAATTAATCTTTTTGCTTCTCTTTGTAACCTAAGTGTACTTGATACCTTGTCTTTTGTTTAACACTTGATATTATAAGGAACCTTACCATTGAAAATTTCGATGTGAAAACATAAGCACTTACAAGTTGTTATAAAATTTATTTTATTGTTTGTCATGTTGATAAGTAATGTTGAGAACAGCTTTCCCAAGATTCCAGTTTGCTTTCTTTTCAAAGAGAATTGTTTGGGCCATGCCTGGATTCTAAAAATTAATATTCTCTCCCCCAAAACAATTTGTTTCAAGAAGTCCTAGAAACTTGAAAAGGGAAAACCTAAAACTCGAAAATTCAAGTTCAAAATTTGTTATCAAATGTGTACACGAAGACACAGGTTAAATGTGGTTGTAGATGAGACTGGCTCATTCTCTTATTCTGTGTGTGTGCGTGTGTGTGTGTGTGTGTGTGTGTGTGTGTGAGAGAGAGAGAGAGCGAGAGAGTTAACCTTGGATCTGTGGTTTTTTTAAATTACATGTCACTTTCCTCCAAAAAGACATCATTCCTTCAAAGATAAGCCATCCAAGATATCTTACATAATTTAATTTACAAAGTTATTTATTTATTTGAGATGGGTTTCCCTCTTGTCCCCCAGCCTGGACTGCAATGGTGTGATCTCAGCTCACTGCAACCTCCACCTCTCGGGTTCAAGTAATTCTCCTGCCTCAGCCTCCTGAGTAGCTGGGATTACAGGCACCCACTATCACAGCTAATTTTTGTGTTTTTAGTGGAGACAGGGTTTCACCATGTTGGCCAGCCTGGTCTTGAACTCCTAACCTCAAGTGATCCACCTACTTCAGCCTCCCAAAGTGCTGGGATTACAGGCGTGAGCCACCGCCCCTGGCCAGAAAGTTAATATTACAAGAAAAATACTCACTTTTGCTCAACATACATGTAATTAATTATTTGAAAATTACAATGTTTAAAATTTTTTAAAAATCACCATATAACGTGACAAAACAAGCTTAATATGTTAATGTTACAGAACTGTAATAGCAGAGCTAAGGTTTGAACTCAGATCTGAATACAAAACTAGCATTTTTTCCATGGTACCAGTCTTTTCTTGCCTAGTATTCACTGTGAAGATGGTCAGGTTTTTAAATTTAATATCCCTTTGATGGTGAATATTCTATATGCATTGATTTTTAGTGCTCTGTATAAAACATTATAGGAAAAACAGCCAAAACGCTTAAGATGAGCATTTTTGCTCAACTCAGCATTTAAAATAATTTTCAGAGTTCCGTTTTTGAGACAGAATCTGTCTCACTGTCACCCAGGTGGGGGTTCAGTGGTTCGATCACAGGCTCACTGCATCCTCTACCTTTCATACTCAGGTGGTCCTCCCACCTCAGTCCTTGCAGTAGCTGGGGCTAAAGGTGTGGCCCCACCACACTTGGCTAATTTTTTGTAGGCAGGGTTTCGCCGTGCTCCCGAGGCCGAGAGAGAAAATTAAAAGTACTAAATTTAAAAAATATATAAGAAGGGAGTCCAGTTCCTTCTACTAGTGATGACTTTGAACCCAAGGAGTTAAAGTGGAGAGAATAGCAAGGCTGGATTGAGACTGCATAAATTTTAGCCATTCTCCTTTTTACTATTTGTATTTACAGTGTTTGATTCTAGAGAGAATGTATTAGAAGTCCACATTCCTAGTTTGAAATCATTGGGACCTTATGTGTTTTTAAATTTTTTGAAAAACTGGGAATTCCCAAAGATAACAGGATGCATGTACTGCATAGTAGTAATGTACCATCGCTAGTTTAGGGTAGTACTCCTATAAACACATTTATAGCTCTAATGAACTTAGGAATTTTCACACTAAGACTATAAAAAGCCTCATATTTAGGTTGTCATGTTTTGCTACCCTGTAAGTTATGAAAATTCTTAATTTTCATAACTTCTTGGATTTCTAAATTGTTGG